ACTGCTACTGCTACTGCTACTGCTACTACTACTACTACTACTACTACTACTACTACTCCTACCACTACTCCTACTCCTACTCCTGCTGCTGCTGCTGCTGCTGCTGCTGCTGCTGCTACCACTACCACTACCACTGCCACTGCCACTGCCACTGCCACTGCCACTGCCACTGCCACTGCCACTGCCACTGCCACTGCCACTACCACTACGACGACAACGACGACGACGACTACTACTACTACTACTTCCTACTCTTCTTCTTCCTTCACCTCGACGCGTACCACGACGACGACTACCGTCAGCAGATGACCTGCTGTGACTACGCCTACTACTACAGCTGCTGCTACCACGACCACTGCAGCTGCCCACTGCCTCCACTACGACCACCACCACTTATCACTACCACCACCACCACCACCACCAACTGCCGCGACGGCCGGCAGCTACGACCACCACCCCAACCGCTACCAACCGCTGTCGCACCTTCTGTCCCTGCATCACTCCCACCACCCCAATTCAGCAGCGGCTTGTAGGGCCCTTTGATGTGAAATTTGGTCGGACGATTGGCGATTCGTGCTTTCCGCGAGCTTGTTGGCTCAGTCTAGTGGCACCCATGTTGCACATGCTCGCCTCCCAGTGCCTCCTTCCCATTTCGTGGCGAGTAGTATGCGCGAGGCACCCTAAACACCAAGACCGTGTGTAGGTCTCACGAACTCACATGTCGGCCGGAGAATATCGCATGAGTCGTCTGGTTGCTGTTGTCTATACTTTTTTTTCCTGCGGAGCACCGGCACGCCAGCGAGCGGCCTACATAGCCGTCGCAAGGTCACTACACATTCAGATTGTAAGACAAACCTAGACCGATGTTTCCTGCGTTGCGGGCACTCCGGCCTTTCCACACTGCACAGCGCCGCTTGTGCCCGGGCTTGTTTCACGCATCGGTTTGTCCGAGATTTCTGCGGGGATGCATGATAAGGAGCAGAGGAGAGAATACACTTCTAACTTTCAGCTATATGAAGTGTAGGCAATCTGATGCGCTTGTCGTGCAGACGTGACGAGTTTGTGATTTCTGGTATGCTTCGACGACGACATGCGAAGGGCAGCACCGGGATCAGCTGAGGTGCGCCCTGGTAGCCGGTGAGGGATTGGGGGATGTCGGCGTCTCAGCACTGGAGAAGGTTCAGGCAGCGGAGGAAAGCCAGCTGCCTCAGGCTGAAACGTGGCAGGCTTTGCCACTCCTGATGACACGGCATTGAGAGCTTGCTCGGCAAGCTCATCCGGAAGCCCAGGGGAAATGATCACAAGTATTGAATTTAGTAACCAAATCACGGCAGGCCTGAGGTAAATTTTGCGTTCTGCTCTCCGGTAAGGCCACGGATGTCATCCGAACTGCTGTGCAGTCAGACATCGCCTGTCATGCAGCAGCAGGGCTGCAGGACATGCACTTCAGACTTCTGGTCTTATGAGCAGTCCTATACTGGTAGCCAAGCACGTAGCCGGCGTAGCCGCCTGGATTTCGGCCAGTATCTGTAGTTGGGCAGCAGCGCATGTTTTCTGCCCAGGCAGGTGTGGCCAACCTGACAATATTTCAGAAGCCCAAGACCAGCCCGTCGCTTGTCTCAAAGAATTGACACAGAGCTCGTTTGTGGGTGGCCGTTGTGCATTATTATGGGCTAAATATATCATACATAGACAAACGAATTCGTTCCTGGCTGCTTGGAAAGACTTTCCAGGTTTCCTGTGCAAAGAATCACGGGCCTTGACTCGAAACGGCGTGATGCAGCGGGCTTGAAGCGCTTCGAGCCCTGTCCAGAAGGCCATTTCAACGCCAGTGTTTGGGAATTCGCGGATTGGGGATACCGTAATACCTAGCCACGGTAAATGTGTCAAGAGAATAGTCCTACGCAAATCACGCATGGACTTTCAGCTTCGCGTAGACACTTCCATCCGGACTTGAGCTCTTACAAGCCGGACTGGGTAGGGGCCCGTATAGATGCCCGCAGCAGAACCGCGAGGCTACACCTTCGTCGACGCAGACATTGGCGGTGGCGCCTTTGCCCGCGTCTTTCTTGTGCGGAACGAGGCCCGGTGTAGATTGACGAGCAGACATGAGCAGGCTGAGGCAAGCAAGGGAGTTACCAGTTGCAGACAAGCTGTACACCTATTTTGTGTCAGAGCTCCGACCGAGGCCACCCAGGATCTGCAAGCCATGAAGCGTGACTTGATTGCAGCGTTGTGCGAGAAGATCGGGCAGCATGTTCTGGAGTGTCAAGCTTGACTTGGGGCACTACAAGTCAAACTCTCATCGCTCCGGCATCGCAGGCGTCGATCGGCAGAAGCTGGCAAAGCATTTTCAGATTTCCGCTGGCGAAGCTGAGCAGATGGTCGAGCAGGCAGCGCTTCCTTGCGCCGGCCTAGCCTTTCCCTCGCAACTGATCTGTCGCTAAATACTGCTTTCGTCAGCATCTTCTCTTTCGGTGTGCAGGGATGTGCGTGAACCGGCGCAGGAGTTCTGGCAGATGCAGCGCACGAACCACCCCCACATCATCAAGCTGTTTGACTTCTTTCAAGACGAGAGATATGCTTACTTTGTTATGGAGGTCCCTGCGGATGCGAGTACCCGTGTTTCCATCGTGTGATGTGGCTAGCTAATTATGGCGCAAAGGGGAATGATGGGATGGCCTAATGCAGGCTTTTGCTTGCCACGCTATCGTGGCATCCTTTGCAGAGGCGGTGAATGGTGGCACTTTGCGCCAGCTTCTGAACAACTTGAATGCCCCGAAGGGCGAGCGGCCAAAGCTGAGTGACCCAAGAATGCAAATGTTTCCCTCTCTCGTCCTGCCCAAAGCAACTTGCATCGTCTTGGTGAGATGCTTTCTCAGCGCAAGAAGAGCTGTGCCGACAAATGTTGGCTTAATTGTCGCTCTATGTCGGTTCAGTCTCTCAGGAAGGCTTCATTGCAGAAATGCTGCAACAAGCCCTCTATGCTCTGCGACACCTGCATTATGTCTCGCGCCTGCACTGTGGGTGGTATGCAGCGGGATCGATGTCGTTTGACACTTGCAAAGTCACATCGTAGAGTTAGCCGGCCGGCCGCACCCACTTGGGCCGACCATGCCTGTTGACGGACCTACGTCGCCGAGCGCAAGCCCAGCGGTGTTGCGTGCCAGAATTCAGTTCAGTCCGGAGATAAGGAGTCAAGAATTCACAAAGACGCCACCTGGCTGCAAGCAAGCCTCAAGTGAGCATTGCTGAAAGTGCAAGTTCGGAATGGTGAGCTCATATTCCACTGAGATCTGCAGACATGTTTCTCGCGGTCTGTTTGTGAGCATCCTATCTGGGCTAACAGCCTGATACTTGCATACTTTTTCCCTCTGCCGGCCTGCCGGCGTTTTTGGTGCTGGATGCTGCGACACGTAGAATTCGGTTTAGGGTTTAGGGTTCGTAAAATCATGAGGATTGTGCGTACTT